GCAGTGTTGCCAGATATACCATTTTTATGGTATTTATACCATTTTTTCACCTATCATACCTATAAGTTTTTTGAGGATACCATTTTCCATTTTTCTACCATTTTTTGGTTGTAGATACCATTTTACTACCATATTTTTAACAAAAAATTTTTATTTCATGTGCTGCTATAAAAGGTATTTACGAAACATGGCACATCACTACTCTACTCTCTAAAACACGTGGCTCATGTATGAAACTCGTGCATTTAGCCGAGTTATGGGGGATGAAAATAAGAAACGTGCCTCACGCACGGCAAAAAACAGATCCAGTAGATTTTCAGAAGTCAGCAATATTTTGCTAAACAACAAATTGCAGCCACATGAAATTGTGGTTGCAAATTAAGCTTGGAATGATTTAATTTGAAGGGTCATTGTAATGTTATAAATATTAGACATCAATTATACCATTTGTCAAGCCGTTAACTTTTAACAGCATCTATTTTGGTCCCGCGGAATTTTAACATATTTGGTTAAAATAAACCCTTTAATTTTTTACAGAATACAGTATCGGGTTAAACACACACACACACACATATATATATATATGGTTAAACAACGGGAGGTTAAAATTTTAACTGTGGCCTTAACGTTAAAATTTAACCAAAAGTGTTAGGACCAGAAATAGACCCGTTTTTTGTCACTTAAATATAGAGCTTAAAATGCATATTCTATATTACTATTATTTTTTTATTTATTGATTATGTATAAAACATTGTTATTTTTGTATTATCAAGATACCATATTTTTCAGTAAAATACCATTTTTTTCAAGTGTCGGATACCATATATATTTTTTTTCATCTGGCAACACTGTCCTCTTGTCTTTCATAGGTATTAGGTAGTGGGTATAATAACTATGTTTAGGTAGATGTGACGCAAAATTCGAAATCTCTACACATATCGTTTTAAACATTTTGCATCAATATTCATTATTTTATATGCACCTTACAATAACCACAACTGCACACACTATAAATTATCACATAAAATAGCATCAAAGTAACGATCGTGGAGACTATTCTCCCTGGTAACGATGAAGAACAACGAAGCCAGGCAAACGGGTAAAGGCAAACCGCAAACCTAACCTAACACCTAACATAATACGAATTGAAAACGGCACACGAGAAATAAATAAATTCCGGCTGTTACGCGCGGTCTGCGCAAGTCACGAACATACATTTTTTCTAGACTTGTATTACAAATATGCTACCACAATTTTTTTTCTGTTTATGTCTGGTTGTACATATAACAAAGTAGGCATGGGTAACACTGTAAATTTTCGTGTATTGACACAACAATACCGACACGGCTTGCTGTATCAACACAACGTGTCAGCACAATTGTGTCATGATACATGATACAGTAAACTGGATAGGATAGATGCAGATGTGTGGCACTGTCTGCGTGTCTGCGCCGCGTTCAATCTCGTTATGACATGCCGGTTCCTTTATAAGTTCACAATATAATTCTAATTTGTCCAATTTTTGTAATTTATTTTTGATTATTTTGTTTTATTTACGATAGCCATAGCTATCAGTATTTTTTTAATGTTTCAGTTTTAGTTTTATGTTTTTTTAATTTTGCGATATGTTTTTTTTTATCAAAGATATTTATTTTTATTCGTGTTTTATGTAAATATATAGATATTTTAAACGACTTGAGTTTTAATAATTAAAATGCCTAGGTATATTTTGAGTATTAAATTGTTTTACTCACAAGTTTTATATACGTAATAAATAAGTTTTGGAAAAAAGATTAAATCGGGGACTCTGTGGCCCCTTAACTCCCATAATCGCGCTTCCGCGGTGTCATAATATAATCCCCATCCCATCGAGAATCAGGATGGTGACTCGTGAGACCGCGCGCCGTTTAGTAACTCGCAATCCACAATTTCTGCCATCTTGGGTGTTATTAAGTGTCATGGTGTCACATGGACTGTTTCAGCACCCATGACACCCAGAGAGGTGTCAACACAAAAGCGCCATTCAACACGGTGTTACCCATGACTATAACAAAGGCAAATGAACTAACGCTTGCTATAATGATGGGGCTTGAGAGCAAAATTTAAGTAATGCCCAATGGAACTAATGGAAGTTCCATAAGATAAACAAAAGCAAAGGGTTGTTTGTTTGTCGTTATTACGTTTCTGAGATCGAAAGGGAATGTTTCGAGTAATGTTTCAAACTCTCTTCAATTGGAATGTTTCGGCTATGTTTCACTAAGTAAGTTTTCAAGTGCTACATTTCTGTAATGAAACAGCAACGTTTCNAACCGGTACAAATTTCTAGGTTATCCGCATCTACTATTTTTGACATTTGCATTTGGACGGTAGTTTGAAAATTGCGGAGATTCGCAGTTACGCATCTCCGCAGTTCCGCAGTAAATAATTGTACATGAGGACCGGCCATTATGGTTAGTTGATAGGATATGTTTTGTGGTTGTGTTGTGGTTAGGAAAAAAAAGAGGTTATGTATTGGGGTATTGGGTTATGTGATGTGCGAAAAATAAGCGTTAGGCCGGTGTCCCATGCATCCGAATTCCGACGATACGAAGGTCCGAAAGTGTTGCTATTGGTTAATATACATTCAAATTTTTACCGCTCATTTTCATCCGAAATTTTTTAAATTCATACGACGTCGGAAAAAGTAGAAATAATTTTAACTTTTATCCGAAATCGTACGTTTTTTAACCTCACTTTTTTATTTCTTAACATGCTATGACTGTTGTTTGGTATATTTACAGTCAAATAAATGTTATATTATAATGTCGAATGTAGAAAATATAATACTACGTATATTTTCTACGATATATACCTATGGTTGTTATTTGAAAATGTTTCACCTTCATCTTGTAATAAATTCCATGGTTCTATACTTGATTTCTATGAGATTAATTTCGGATGCATGTGAATTATAATATTATCATTCGTACGAATTAAAATATTTTCGGATATCGTACATCGGATTTCGGATGCATGGGACACCGGCCTTATTAAAATTTATGCTTTTATGGAAAAATAAAGTTTTAGAGAAAAATATAGTGTGCCTTCCTGAAACAGCCACCCAGATAGAGCTACAAATAAATCGATCATGAGATTGAGTCTCAGATCAAGCCGAAAGGAAGAGGATGAAGAAAATATTAATATGGCTATGGCACCAAAAACTTTAAAACCGTTTTTTAACAGGTCTGAAACAACTAATAAAGTTTTCAACAAATCAACTTGAAATTTTGTACAGAGCTTCACAATAATATAACTCGGGGAACATCGCACTGGTTTATCGATTGATTAATAATTTTCATTGTTATTAACGATTTAATGCAACATTTTTCATTCTTTCAATATATTTTTTTTAATGTTCACGAAATCAGCAATTATTAATATTTTTTAATTTTCTTACGATATTCTCTAGGTTTTAGTATGTAATATCAGAAAATTTTAGTTTTTTTGTTCCCATACTATCCCTTAATAAGAAAGCCTTCTGGTCATTCAGCCCTTGGAAAAAAAAGGTGTTGTTGCTTGCCATCACCTACAGTTGTCATTTTGAATCCAAATCATTTGAAAAAATTGACAAGACTATCTGAATACATGTAAAATAAAACCTTTTTGTTCCTGACACTATATCTTGTATCGATTTTTCCTTGAAAATCCCTGAAAATCGCCCTTTTTTCCCAACTACTAGATTGGCGTTAGCCCTTAATGCTTATTAATGTTTATTGTGGCATATTTAAGTGAATTAATTAGTCGTTACCTTGCTCTTCTTTCCGCTGCTAATTTCTTCTTTTTCCGTCTTTCCGAAAGTTCGTGATCATTGGCCTTCTCTCCACCAATCATCGCTGCCTTCAGAACGTCAATCCGTTTCACTATTTCTTCTTTCGAGCACAATTCTCTCTTCTGCTTTTGAACGATTTCTTTGTTAAGCTTCTGTATATTACTTTCATATTCCTCCTTTATCATTTGAATTTGTTTCAGCACAATCTCTTTTTCATTTTTTTCGTTTTCATGGAGGTTTTTCAGTTTCTTCATTTCGTCTTGATACTCCTGCAAGAGCCTGTCGCGTCGGGCATCGAAATCTGCGCTGTTGGAGGGTATATTTTTGTTTATTTCTTCTTCGGGGGTGTGCGTTAAGTCCTCAAGTTTTAGGCTGTTGTTCTGTTTATTTTCTAGTAGGTGTTTTAGCCTCTCAATTTCCTCTTGGTACTGTCTCAGGATGGCATCTTTCGGATCCTAAAAAAGATCAGTTGGAAAGTTGTGAGTTTTTTACAGAACAAATGTCATTGTCAAAGCACCAACATATTTATATGTTTTGTGTAACAGGTACATTTTTACGTTTGTAGTGATATTTACCTCATTAACTTTAGGTTTGTTGTGAATATTTTTGGCCCTGTTGGCGTATCTGAGTGTAGACAATGTTTCCATGTAATCTCTACTAGAAGGACTAACACAGGCTATCATAAGTGTTCTCGTATTCCCTCCTAGAGAGTCCTAGAATTGAAAAACGGGTATAAATTTCATCTCGTATCGTTCAAGGACTTTACCTGTAAAAGTCTTGTAAGTTTTGAGTCTCTGTATGGAATATGCTTGGCTTTGCCGTCTACCAAAGCTGATATTACGTTTCCCAAGGCACTTAGGGATAAATTGATTTTTGTTGCTTCTTTAAGTCTGTCTCCGGTAGCGCCTGTTTTAGCTTGCCTTTCCGATCCGGCTAAATCTACTAGATTCAGTTTACCTAAAAATTTAATTAAACATACATACATATTTTAATATTTTTTTTTAACCCTACCTTTCCTTATACTTTCGTTATTATTCAAATTACTAATCTGTTCGATACTTATAGTGAATATACTGTGGGACCTGGAGCTATTTTGGTTCATTAACGTGGCACCGATCATTCTGTTTTTCGACCCGATGTTTAAAAAACTCTCACACTCCGATGCATTGTGTACTGGGTGCGATGTTAAACCTGAAGAAAACAAATTCGAATAATTTTTTAACTTGCGTAATGAAATATTTACCGGGAACTGTGACACCCTCACTTGGACTCTCTTTTAAGTTCAGTGTAGGTCCATTTGTTAACTTTTCACTAGGCAATAATAAGTCTCTGAAAAGTACACAAAAAAATTAAAATATAGTTGAAAACAAGATAATAACTTAGTTGATTGAATATATTATGTTTGCTTAAAAGGAATAATGTTGATGATACTTGTATTACACATTTTAAGCACAAAAATTAAAGTAAATAGTTATGTGGAGGAAGGGATAGTATATTACAACACATTCGTTTTTTTTGCTGCAACTAAATGATAACGTCTTTGAAATATTATTACCTTATTTGTTCATTGTAAATTTCTAAGTAACTAACTAATGCTAAATATTTGACGCCAGTGGTGACGGAGATGGCCTCAAAAATGTGTTCAAAAGCCCTTGAGATAACTCCTTTCTGCGATCCATCATCTGATTTTATTCCTTCCATTGTAAATGATTTACCACAGCCTGTTTGTCCATATACAAAGATCGTAGCATTGTAACCTTCAAGAACACTCTGAAAAACATGTAATTTTTATGTTTGTTTCTTGATACAGAACTTCATAAATGATTACAAGCCACGTGATTAGTAATTTTGTTCGGAATAGTAATTTTATTTCCTTCATATTGACAATTAAATTTAGATAAAATCAAACATTAAATCGATAAGATCAAGATTGCTTTAAAACACAACATCCTGTTTCACTGGCTGCAATTAGTGTAGTTCTAATTCAACTAATCAGCTATTGCGTCGCATTATCTTGAGCATAGACATAACGGTTTGTCATTGTTGTAAACAAAGCATGTTCGGCGGTCACGAGGCTGGTAAACATTTATGAATGCTCATACTATGCAAACATTGTAGATTGTAGAGTTTGAACTAGGATTTCTTACCTCAACGAGGGGATAGCAGATATCGTTATAAATAATTTCCGTTTGTGAATCCTGATCGTAGGTGGAGTCGAAAGTAAATTGTTTCGGAAATGATGGTCCTTCGCTGGGGTCCCATGTTTCGATCATACAATTTTTCGTCCTCACCACACACTGAAAATAAAATGCATAGTACATTACCTTTAAGGCTGGTGTTCTTTAGACAAGTAATCACAGTTTTAGTAAGACAGTGATAGAACAAGTAGATCCATCTAGGAAGTGACGGAGCGTAACGTTAAACTATAGTACGATCATTTTCGATGCAAAGTAATAAATCATTGCCTGTCAAGGGAACCAATGAAATACGCCTTTAAGGGTTTCACAAATTGAATAATTTCTTTATACATTATGAAGGGACGAGGGGATCAGGGGTCTGGCACCCTTGTTGCTACAAAAATACCTTTATTCTCATAAACTATTTATTTTAAATGTAATTTATTATAAATCCAATTTGTTTCCTAAATTCCACATATGTACTACATTTTACCTCTGTACGCGCCACTGTTGTTTACTTGTTTTTTGGAAGCGCTCTCTAATTGACAGCAAAGCTCGCCAGGTTAGTATTTGACGTATAACCGACCAGTTCGTACACTCGATGCACCTGGGCGACTACAGCTACTACCAGAACACAGTGCGTATGCAGCGGTATTTCAGATTTTACATTGAATTTCATTTTAAATTTGAAATGATTTATCTTACGCCTCCTAAAAATGATGACACGATTTTCCTTTGATAAAAG